TGATGACTTGGAAATTCCTCAAAACATAGTAGATGTTAATTCAACAACAAATTCTCTTGGACTTGGCGAAAGTATGCTTAGTAATCCAGAAGAAGGAAAGCACTTGGATTCAAATACTCTCGTTGAGAGGGAGCATTCTTTCGGGGGGGGAATGAGAGAATGGATGATGTTGTTGAGGGGGAGCATCTAGTTGAGGGGGAGCATCAAAATGATAATCGTGTTGAGGAGGAAAATGATACAATAAATTTTAATCAAAATGATGATTTTCATGATCTAAATGATAATGTTTCTGTTGTAGGATCTGAAAATGAAGAGATGTACGAAGATGCACCTTTGGAATTCGATCCAGGATATCCACCGTTAGAAAAATGGACAAAGACTCATCCAATTGATCAAGTCATTGGAAATCCTCAAGATGGAGTTTTAACAAGAGCTCAGATTCGTGCGAAGAATGAGGTATTAAATACTCATCAAGAATTTTGCATGTTCAATGTTTTCATATCTAAAATTGAACCAAAGACAGTTAAGATGGCAATGGAACACTCAGATTGGGTTGTTGCAATGCAATCAGAACTGGCTGAATTTGAAAGAAACAAGGTTTGGAGATTAATTCCTAAACCTGAAAATGTTTCGATTGTCGGGTTAAAATGGATTTTCAAAAACAAAACCGACAAAGATGGAAATATTGTACGAAATAAAGCACGTTTAGTTGTAAAAGGATATTCGCAACAAGAAGGGATTGATTATGAAGAAACCTTTGCCCCTGTTGCAAGACTCGAGGCTGTTCGAATATTCTTAGCATATGCAGCTCATAAGGATTTTGATGTCTATCAAATGGATGTGAAATGTGCCTTTCTCAATGGAGAACTCGAAGAAACTGTTTACGTAGAACAACCTCCAGGTTTCGTAAATGAAATGCATCCTGATCATGTATATATTTTAGATAAAGCTGTATATGGGTTAAAACAAGCACCAAGAGCATGGTATGCAACTCTTACCAGTTTCTTAAAACAGTCGAAATTTAAGCAAGGATCAGTTGACCCCACATTATTTCGAAAGAAAGTTGGGTGTCATCTGATGCTTGTTCAAATTTATGTTGATGATATTATTTTTGGCTCTACTGACCCTGCTTTGTCTAGAGAATTCGAAAATTTGATGAAAAGCCAATTCGAAATGAGCATGATGGGTAAAATCAATAATTTTCTTGGCTTAAACATATGTCAAAACAGAGAAGGCATATTCATCAATCAAGAGAAATATACAAGGAATTTGCTCGAAAAGTTTGGATTGACAAATAGCACGAAGTTAAGAGTACCAATGGCTGTTGGCACAAGGCTAACACCTTCGTTAGAAACGCCTGCGGTTGATCTTACTTTATACAGAAGCATGATAGGTTCATTGCTTTATCTTACTGCAAGTAGACCTGATATCATGTTTTCTGTATGTAATTGTGCTAGGTATCAAGCAAATCCTCGAGAACCACATTTAACAGCTGTGAAGAATATCTTTCGTTATCTCAAGGGAACAATTTCGTTAGGATTGTGGTATCCTTCGAAAACAGGATTTTTCATTCAGGCATTTTCAGATGCAGATCTAGGAGGGTGTACATTGGATCGAAAAAGTACAAGTGGTGGTTGTCAATTTTTGGATGGAAAGTTGGTTAGTTGGCAGTCGAAGAAGCAAACGTGTGTTTCGATTTCTACTGCTGAAGCCGAATATGTAGCAGCTGCTGCTTGTACATCACAAATTATTTGGATTCAAAGTCAGTTGAGAGATTATGCTGTGAATATGAAAAAGATTCCATTGTACTGTGATTCTCAAAGTGCTATACGCATTTGTCATAATCCAGTACAACATTCGAAAACAAAACATATAGCTCTTCGTTATCACTTTATCAAAGATCATGTGGAAGATGGAAACATTGAAGTTCATTTTGTAAAAACAACTGATCAGCTTGCTGATATTTTTACAAAAGCTTTGGATGAAAAATCATTTGTTCGAATTTTGACAGGTTTGGGAATGATTGAAGCGAGTTCAGTTCCAGGACGGATTTCGAATGTATAGCAAAGGTGTGTTATACAAATGTGTCGATTCAGAGGCAATAAGACGCCATTCAGCGGTTACTGTTCATAGTCAACGCTTCGACACGCTTCGAATTCGACAATTTGCATGTTGGTTGTGTGGTACAAAATTTTCGTTAATTTGTCAAATTTTCGTAAGGTTGTCCAATTTTCGTTCGTTTGTCAAATTTTTGTAAGAGTGGCAAATTGTAGTTTGTTTACAAATATTCGTTTGTTTGTAAAAATGTTTTTCGTAAGTTTGTATTTTGGTTTTCTTTTCGAAAAATCAAAAACTCCAAAAAGATTTTATTTTGGTTTTGTTGTTTTCTTTTCGAAAAATCAAAAACTCCAAAAAGATTTTATTTTTGTTTTGTTGTTATCTTTTCGAAAAATCAAAAACTCCAAAAAGATTTTATTTTCGTTTTGTTGTTCTCTTTTCGAAAAATCAAAAATACCAAAAAGATTTTTCTTTTGTTAATTGTTTCTTTTTTCGGGAAAAAAAAACTCAAAATGTTTTTTTTTGTTTTGTTAGAAAAATCAAAAATAACAAAAAGATTTTTGTTATTCTCTTTGTTTCTTTTTCTTTGTGCAGATAACACGAACATTTTTTCAAGGGTCATGCTTGTGTTTCTATGGGAAGGTAAACTTTCGACAACTATGTACTAGTTAGATTGTCCCTAGAAGCATGCTGCAGCATGTTGACCCAAGCCTCTGGAGACTCAATGTGTGTTTATGAAAGCCTTAATGAAATCTTTCATACGAAAATTTCTTCCCAAGTCAGGCTTATATTCACATTAGTCGATTGAGCTACCTTACTCTTCTCACATGAGTTAAGAGTTATCTGTTTTGTCCGAAAATAACAGAGGTACAATTCGTTACTCAAAACCAATCTTTTTCATCCCAAAATTTCTTACACTTGCACACACGAAGACATATATCCAAGAGATCTTTGATTCAACCCATCAAGATTTAGATATATCAAAATTCTGTGTTAATGATCTGACATCATGAGGCCATGATGAAAGTGAAACCCAACTTCATATCTTAATAAGGAATTGACGGGGAACTATGTTCCAGATTTGACGAAACATTTGTTTCAGTACCATTTTTCGAAACTCAAAATCATATTCTATTCTTATGCGTGATCTTGATCAAACTATCGAAACCCACGATGTTTGTTACCCAACAGGATCCAGAACAAATATTTTTTTATGAATATGATTTTTGTATGAGTTTCATTTGCTTTCCAAGTTACTATCAACATATTTCAAAGCATACTTGTCACTGACTACACTGGTCAAACAAGTAATTTCTGTTACAATTACTCACCTTATGTTTAGGATGATATGTAACGAAATTCTAAACCACCCAATAAGCCTAACAAAAGAAGCCCTTCGATACTTCTCTACAAGTATTCGATTGTAATTCACGGGAACATACACAAGCAGTTGATTATCTCTCTTGATAATTAATGAAGTAACCTTTGCCCGGGGTTTCTCTGCTTTTGTGTCGAAATTTTTTGACATCACAGATCCAAATTTTCGTTAATTTGTTTCTTATCTTTTCTTTGGCACACAGAACACACAAAATCCTTGAGGTTCTGAGTACTACCAACTCAGGCTGATGATTTCGACAGTCTAGCAAATGACTTCGTCTCTAAACCCAAAGACGAAAGAGCTTAACCTCCATCCGAAGGTTGATGACGGTTACTATTCCTTGAGGTGACACGAACAGACTGTGTGAGGAGACGTTTCCTGGTTTCAAGGCGGTGTGACAGTTACTTTTTGACGCATGGCAACTTTATTGGCAGACTGGTGCGACTTTTAAGGTGCCACGTCAGATCTCAATCAATGCCTATCCCGCGTTCAATTCAAATTAAGGGTTACATATAAAAAGGGCATTTACGGATTCTTTATCTTTTTACGCTCACAAAAGAACTCAAATACCCAAATTCTCTCTGTTCTTCAAAGCTTCTAAACCCTAATCATGGCTGGCGTTGATTCTACTTCTCGAACAACTGAAGACATCACTTCTCAACCGATCATGAAGATTCAAAGCACCAATTATCAAGTGGAAGGGGATGTGTCTCTGTATCCTGAAGAATTGAAGATGCTCATTGTCGCATTGAAGAGTTCTGTTCTTTCCAAGGCGATGTTTAATTCATTCGCAGTTCCTCTCTCATGGCTTTCTCAAGCAGGATCCACTGCTACTTATAGCAAGGCAATGGATATCATCACCTTTCAACTGGTGAATGACAAGAAAATCCGTTTGTCCAAGAAAATCTTTTGTCAAATTCTCGATATTCCCAATTCTCAACTGGTTACTGATCTTACTTATGGACAAGTTGTTCATATGTTTAATGAGATGGGTCATCAACCCCCACTCACGAAGATTAGTGATTTCAAGAAGTCAACTCTGCCAACTGTTTGGAATTTCTTGTTTGGAATTTTTCTTCGATGCTTGACAGGTCGAAGTGTTGGCTTAGACAAAGGTCGCATGGAGGTTTATGCGATGGTGGCAGGATTGTACTATGATCTCTCTGTCGACTACTCTACACAACTGTGGAAGGAATTCCAAAAGAGTATCGAAAAGACGAATGTGGTTTAAGGCATTTCGTGTGCTAGGTATTGGAGCTTAATACTTGGTTATTTCTATGAAAAAGAAGGAATTGTTGTTCCTGCTGATGAAGAAAAGGCTGAGTTTCTGAAGTATCACTTACCTAAGGAAGTTTAGGATGATTTGGAAGTATTCACACACATTGCTCGGATTCCTGATGCAATGTTAAAGAGGGTTGAACCAACAAATTCGGTGTTGGTTGAATACTTGAAAACTATCAATCCAGATGTTGAGACTGGAAAATTATTGTCGAAAGAAGAAGCTGGTCCTTCCAAAAAGTCTAAACGTTCTAAAAAGGATGCAAAGGCTACACCAGAGAAGACAATGCACGAATCAAAGAAGTCACCTGAGAAGATTGTGCACGGATCCACAAAGTCTCCAAAGAAGCCTGAGACGGCTGAAGTGAATGTTTCGACTGTTGTCATCGAACTAGTGGAACCTGTTGATGATGCTGTAGTGGCAGAGAAAATTCCTTCAAAATCTGGTGTTTTTCGACGATTGAAGAAAAGGACTAGGGGTTCACGAAAATCTTCTCCTTCTAATGTTCGTAAACCACAACTCTCTCATCAAGGATTCATTTTTCGAGAAGTTCCAGCTCCAGTTTCGCCTTTGTCCAAGAAACGTAGAGCTGAAGATGTGGCCAAACACATTTCAAAGAAGAATACACGGCAATGAAAGTTGGTTATCCAAGAGGAGTCTTCCGAAGAAGAAATAGTTCCTGAAACACCAGAACCAATTGTTTCTCAATCTGTATCTACTCCTGAGCAGACCATTGTCATACCACCAGAAGTTTTGCTAACTCAATCAAATACTGAGGAGGTTCGAACTTCAGGCATTGTTACACACGTATCTGATACGAATGTACATGTCAACATGGGTGAGGGTGAGTCGAACAAAGAAGTTGAGGCTACTACTCAAGGTATTCCTGTATCTTCAAAACCAGATACTTTCGTGTCCTTACCTCCTTTTATTATTCCAAATACTACAAGTTCCCCAACCTTTGAAAACATTCTTCATCAACCCTTTACAACTCTTTTTCCATCTCAATCCACTGATTCACCAAAACCTTGATTCGCCTGTTAAAACTTCACCTGTTGTTGAACCTGATACTGACAATGAAGGTTTTGGAGGCACATTTGACGATTTACAGTTTGATGATGAAGAAGATCACTTTCCTGATCATATGTTGATGACGATGAAACAATTCAAGATTCTCAACACGAAATTGAATTCTATTATTCAATCTCAAGCAGATTTGGGGAGTAATTCGTCTATCTCTAATATGGAAGTTGATAGTCTGCTGAAAACCTTCGAAGCAAAGGTGGTGAGTAAAGTCTCTGGAATGGTCCGAGATTCAGAGATTCGACTCTTGGAGAAAATTGATCACAATGATCAGAATTACGAATTAAGGGTGAATTCTCTAACTTCGATGTTTAGAGGGGAGGTAAAAGAATTCAAGCATTTGGTAAAGGAACGACATGTGTTATTCGTTCAAGATGTCAAGAAGGTGAGGGAAGATGTGAATTTGCAAATTCAAGAGCTTCGACAGGATATGCAAAAGGAAATCTCAATTGTGCAAAGGGATTATGCTTCGATTAATCAGAAAGTTGACATTATTTGTGATGCTGTTACCAAATATGTCAAGTTGTACGAAGATTTGAGTCCTCAAATTACTCAATTGTCGACAACGGAAAATCAAAGCTTTGTGGAAGTGCTCAAACTGTTGAAGGAGCTCAAAGATTTAACTGTTAAATCAGTTTCATCTCCGTTGATCACTCCGGACTTTTTGTCTCAAAAGTTCATTCATTTTGAAGCTATTTTACAAAAACAACTTGCTCCTCTTTCTCACATTTCTAGCCTTCTTCCAACGAATGCCCCGCCTGTTTTCACAGGGGTGTAAGGGTGAGAAAAGTAGGTTGGTGGTACGAAGGCTAGTGGTGAAGTTTTGCATACAGATGCAAAGGTTGTTGGAAAGGTGTTTTCTTCGAAGATTCCAATAACAAAACCAATCGTGTCAACTGCTGAGCCATTTATTTCGACTGTTATGACAACAATGCCAATTTCAACGAAGCCAATTTCAAGACCAATTTCCAAAGGAATTAAGATTGGGGAAGGTGGCAGCAGTTCGAAGCCTAAGGAAAGTATTGATAATTCCTCTGTAAAAGAAAAAGGCAAAACGGTTATGGTCGAAAAGTCAAAGGAAGAAAAGAAAGCTGAAGCGGAGGCTGAGGTTGAAAAGCTCCGAATGGTACAAAGCATTATGCGACTTCGTGCAAATGATCCACCTGGGATGAACAAGGGTGATCCTTCAAAGCATTACAATTATGAAACAATAGAGTCGAAAGTTGCATATAATCATATGTATGCTTTCGAAAAGAAGCCAAAGAAAAGCTATGTTGTTCTCAACACAGATATGAGTCAGTTGGATTTTCCCATCAATGAGATGATGTTCATCATGGCTCAGTACAAAATAGCTGAGAAATTTGATAATGATGATGAGTACACTTACATGAAGATCAAATTTCATGCTGTACTTGGAAAGCTTCCAGAGGAGATTTGGTTACTAGTGAAGATAAAGAAGGTGATAAGCATAAAGCCAGATGTGTTGTTCGAATAAATGATACAGAATCTTTGCTTTATTGTTACGAGGGCAAATGGGCAAGTGTGTGATTTCTCAGTAGCTGATTTTCCTTTAATGAACTTGTATGATCTGATACAAGTTGCATTGTTGCTAAAGGATAAAGATGCTTCATATCTTCGAGAAACTGATCCTGAAGTTTTTCGACTTGGGTTGGCTGACATCAAGATTTTCATTGACAACTATTATGAGTGTTTAGCACTTACTGATGTTGAGTTAGCTACAGAAAAGGGATTGACTGTAAAAGTGCCTATGGAACTTCCTTTAACTCAACCTGAGTTGAAGAAGTATGCAGACGGAGAAATATGTTTGAAGCCATTTGGTATGGTATTTGCTGGGAAAGATAAAAATGGGAAGGCTAAGAGATTCTTGTTTCAAGCTTCCGAAGTGGAAAGATATACAACTTCCTAATATACGAATTTCATTGTTCGTATGAATAGCTGCAAGAAGAATAACGAAGGAGATAAGAAGGAACTGAAGAAGATAATCTCATGGTACACTGAGATTCGAAGGGTTATGCTGTATGCTATACAGATACTCTTGAACTGACGAAGGTCGACATTATTACAAAGGGGGAGATTGTTAGGGTCGAATTATATTGTAATATGTCGAAGTCTGTTTTACCCTTCGTATGTTTTGTTAAGTTTATTTACTAAGGAGTATTTCGTACGAAGCTTAATTGTCAATGCCTTAGTATTTTTTGTATGCTTTCACGGTTCCTATAAATATGGAACTTTACTAGAGTTAGATAAGAGTCCTTTACAGAACCTGTCTATTTTCTCTGTAAAAGTTGAAAGCATAAATGAGCAGAAACCAGATCTTATTTACATCGTTTGTTCAATCTGCATTCGTTTAACTCTGATTTTGTTTAATACTTGATTCCACGATTCATCAAGGCTATAAATTTAAAACTGGGACGTATATATGTGCACATCAAGTTTTTGGCTTCGTTGCCGGGGAACGGCTATTTGATTTTTAGTTTAATTGTTTTAAGTTAGTCGATCCTTTTTGTGGGTTAAAAACCGCAAAACGTTATTTTTCAGCATTTATTTTATTTTATTTTTTCCTTCTGAACATTAACTACGTCGTGGGCATCTTGGCCACATCGTGTTAACGTTTGAGTCATCCAGAACTCCGATAGTTCCATCACGTGAAGATCTTGAATCGGCTTTCCATTAAAAGAATGATAAAAAGGTCTACGAATCAAGAAGCAATTTCGAGTACAACACATACAAAAGCTTTGAAAGAACTCCAAACGCGAAGGGCATTGGTTACGCGGCAGGAATAGAGAGCGAATCTGAGGACGACATAAAAAGTGAAGTTGAAGAAATGGCAGACATCACCAGAATGACGATGGGGAGTACAATAAAAGGTTGCGTAATGACAACGGTCCAAGGTTGCGTAACGACAACGCTCCAGCCGAGAGAGATTTTGAGCTCAAGGGGCATAATCTATCAATGATCAAGGACATACTTTTTTTCGGGAAATATTATGAAGATACTTTCAAGCACATCGATGAAGTTTTGTACATTGCTAATTATTTCAATGTCCCAAATGTTTCTAGAGATGCAGTATTACTAAGAATGCTTCCCGTGACGTTTACTAGAGATGCAAAGATATGGTTGAAGTCATTAGCTCCTGGAACAATAAGGACTTAGGACAACCTTCGTGAAGCGTTTATCGAGAAATTTAGTCCTCCCCCCTAAGATATGTAAACTCGAGAAGAAGATTGCCAACTTTCAATAAGAAATAGGAGAGTCATTATACAAACTTTAGGAAAGCTACAAGGGCCTTCTAAGAAATTGTCCTCAACATGATCTAAATGTCCAACAAGAAGTGTCTATTTTCTATGATGGGGTAAATGCTACAACAAGGCAACTCCTTGATTCTTAAGGACCAATGACAAAGAAAGAGTTGGCCACCATTAAAGAGTTAATTGAAGAATTTTCAAAGCACTCGAGAGAATCTCATAATTCACGAGAAGATGCGATAAGAGAAAATGGAAATGGAAGGAACGAGAACATGGCAGCGGTATTGGCAAAAATAGAGAAAATGGATAGGCGAATGATAAAAATGGATCAATCCATTAATGCTATAAGAGTTGGGGTGTGACAATTGAAATGGGCCGCCTCTAACGAAGGATTGCAATTTGGATGAGCACATGAATAAGAAAGCACAAGTGTTTTACTCTAGTGGTGATAAATATGATGAATATTGGAGAAAGCCGAAGAAGGAGTGGTTGCGTTATGATGAGTACAAGAAGCAAAAGGACGAGAAGTATAGGCAAACGGTTGAGGCTACTACCAAAAAGATCAACCACCACCTGAGAAGAAGATGGATTTTTGTAACAACCCGTCATTTAGAGTTAACAAAAGTCAATAAAAGTCAATACAAGTCAAAGAAAGTCAAACTTGTTAAATCAAAGTCAAATTATTGAAAACATAAAACATAAATGTGATTTAATTCCTTATGTATATTAGAATTTTGGTAAAGGAATCAAATGCATTTAGAAACCAAAAACACCCTTTGGAAACCGAGAAATCTCGCAGGACCCTACCTCCTCGGACCGAAATTGGATTTCGGTCAAGACCGCAATCATGCGAGGCCATGGTCCACTTCGGACCGCAAACGGTTCACGGTCAGCACCGAAATCAGTTTGCGAGGACCCACCTGTTACACCAAAATCTCTCTCTTTTGGGCTACTTTTCGACCGAAAACACTTTATTTAGGCCCATTAGGACCGAAAACTACCCCTATATATAAGTGTTTAACCGTGAACTCAATTCATTTCTCATTTCCCAAACCGTAAACACACTCATTTTGCTCTCAAGTATCATCCGAGAACCTTCAAATCTTCAAGAGATTTTACCCAGAATCTTCAAATCTTCAACCGAAATCATCATCCCACCTTCAAATCTTCATAAATTCACCAAGAACACCAAAAACAATCTTCAAGTCTTCAAGCATACACCGAAAACACCCAAGCTAACACCGAAAACGCCAAGAAACCCCCTCAATTAATTCCTAACACTTTTTG